CAAAATTTTCGCGTTTCTGAACACAAATCGTTGGATGTTTACGGGGTAGGAATGGCGCGGATGCTTTTTTTTTTCCTGTGAAAAATTCTCTTAACTGCATGTGGTGAGGAATCTTCGATTGCTACCTAATGTTTGATACCTCCCTTCTTTTTTCCCCTTTCCTGATTTCGCTTTACACAAGCCCCTTGTATATTTGTGTGGTTTGGGCATGGATTCTCATGTTACAGATGCATGTCGCCGAGAGACACCTTCTCCGTGGCAATTATTCACCTGAAACATAAAGGCGTATCTTTCTGTTTGCATTGTAATAGCACAAACTTTTGATGGAAGAAGGAATCAGATTGTGCTTTTAGCTTTATTATTTACTTGTTCCTTATCACAACCACGCGTCCACACACATGATTTTAATTAGTTGTTCCGGGGAAAAATTCTCCAGGTGGTACTGACGCCAACAAATCTTATGATTGTCATGGAGTTCGCAGCAGGTGGGGAGCTGTTTGAGCGAATCTGTGATCGTGGGCGGTTCAGTGAGGATGAGGTCTCGTGATTTATTCCTCAATTTTATAATCTTATGGATTTGGGTGGAGGAGCTATACTTAATCTGGTTTTGCTTCACGCAGGCAAGGTATTTCTTTCAGCAGTTGATCTGTGGTGTGAGCTACTGCCATCACATGGTACGAACACGCAAGCAAGAGTATTGTTATAATAATTTACATCCCACTTTCCTTAAGCACAAATGACTAGTGTGCCTACTGTTTCACCTTTCAAGTTTCTTTTATGTTTCACGGCTGGTTTCACTGTTAACCTTCTGCTGTCTTATGTATGAGCCAAGATCTAGTGTACTGTATTTCTATTAACTTGATTCTCGGGACAATCTTGTCATATGCCAGCAAATATGCCATAGAGATTTGAAGCTGGAGAATGTTCTCTTGGATGGCAGTGCAGCTCCACGGCTCAAAATATGCGATTTCGGCTACTCCAAGGTTGTCCCTGAACCCACTTATTGAACCTTCAAGTTATCGATGTCTATATTCTCACAGAAACTGTTCTTCCCATTTCTGGATCAGTCATCAGTATTGCATTCAAGGCCCAAATCAGCAGTGGGGACGCCAGCATATATTGCACCAGAGGTGCTATCCCGCCGTGAGTATGATGGAAAGGTGAGTTTGTAATTTTTTATTGTTTTACATTTACCGTATCTGGTTTCTGTTAGTCCTTTTGCAAGATAATCTGTTAGGTCATTAGAACAAACCTCTTTTCTAGGCATTGTATGTGCAAATATCTCTTTCATCTTGTGGTTTTCACTAGTGTCAAAAAACATCTTACATATGGGACGGAGTAGTATGCAAGTTTTACTCATGATTTCACTGAAATTATGAGTATTTGGCCATTTCGCCAAGCCTTTCTGATTGGTTAAATAGTCGGTGTCTTGACACTATTTAAACTTCTCCATTGAAACCATTTAGTGGATGCACTTGCGTCATGATTGTGACGTTACATATGCTTGGCCCCTCAATTTAATCAAAAGTCCGGTTGAATGACGGGCACTCCAAGGCTAAAGGAGTACCTTCCAAAAGCTTGCATTATCTGAAAATATTTTAGGAAATACCTGATATTTGGCTTTATTTAAATTGTGATTGACAATACATTATATTATATTTAAAAAATACCACAAATATTGGACAAACAGATTATCTGAAATTCTCTCGGCAAGCTTCTGTTTGATGAGGAGTCATTGTCAGCATTAAGTACTGGAACATCTTCTGTTTGGTTTGTCGAGGTAAGATGTACAACAAAGGATGTTGACATCGGAAAAGTGGAGTGGGCTATTAGTGAATGCAGATCATCCATCCACAAAATAGGTTCTTATCCTCTAGATTCTACATGTTTCTAGATACGATTCACCTTTTAACTGTTAATGGAGTTTTTGGATTCTACTCCCTCCGTCCTATAATGTGTAGTGTCAAAAAACGTCTTATATTATGGGACGGAGTAGTAGTTTCTTGTTTAGATCACTTCGTCGCAAAATAGGTAGGTTTGCCCGTTAACAAAGTAAGTTCAGACGGCCCCTGTCTGGCAAATTTTCTGCAGCCTACTTTCCTGCCTTGCTGTTTGCTTCTATTGAATTCATTGTATTTTGTGAAGTCTAAATTTTAGAGCATGGTAAATGCACCTAGATCTACAGAACCACTACCAATTACATACATGCAAGGATGTCTAATTCCCGTCCACATTGTAGGAAATGTGATGACATGGCTTCCTTGATACAAAGATGTATTGTATTGGCATATACTCCCTCCGTTCCAAAATAGATGGCTCAACTTTGTACTAACTTTATTCTAAAGTTAGTACAAAGTCGAGTCATCTATTTTGGAACGGAGGGGGTATTATGCAAATGTTGGGCTGTATTCCATAGCTTTTCACGGGAATGGAGAACTGTAGCATTGGCATGCCTGTTTCACTTAGTTTTTGCCATGTTGGTGCTTCCCTGATTGAACCAGCGACTGTGGGAGTGGTGGGTGGATTCATACACGTGACTATGCTCCATCAAATGAAGCCAGTTATTTTGCTTTAATCATTATTCATGGCTACCAGGCTAGTATAATTTATAAGTTGGTTTTGCTGATCAAGGCGATGATCCTTGTGGTTAATTTGTAAGTTCAGTCTTCAGTGTGCCAGCACACTGAAACTTCAATAACGCAAGGAAGAACCTTTAGGCTAAATGAATAACGCAACAACAGAACAGAAGTACAAAACTGCACTAGAACTGCATGATTACGATGCTTTATCTTGACACTGCAGAGTCAACACAATTTTCCTGTGCGGTTACTGAATATGAAGTTTAGCATCCTACAATAAACCATGCCAATCATATAGTCGCGCAAGAGATTGTCAGATGTCGGTCCTGAACTTTGTAGGTCTTCCAATGGATATTAGCTAGTATCTAGTGACATGAGAGTATTCTTCAGCTATACTAATTAGCAGCAATGGATCTTTTTAATGTAGCTTGCAGATGTGTGGTCTTGTGGGGTGACTCTTTACGTCATGCTTGTGGGAGGCTATCCATTTGAAGACCAGGATGACCCCAAGAATATACGCAAGACCATTCAGGTGACATTCTAGAATTATGCGACACAGATTTATCCTATTATGGGTCGCGGTATTTCCTTTTGCATGTCACATGACTCTCATTATGGCCACTCTTCATCTACAGCGAATAATGTCCGTGCAATATACCATACCTGATCATGTCCACATATCCATGGAATGCCGACAGCTTATGGCCCGTATCTTTGTTAACGTCCCATCGAAGGTAATGATCTCAATCTGTATCTTTTGCCTTCTTCTTTTTAGGAAGTCACCATGTTTCATAGCAAGTGACATAGGGTTGACATGATAATTTGAATGCTGTCCAGAGAATCACAATGAGGGAGATAAAGAATCACCCATGGTTCCTGAAGAACCTACCAAGGGAGCTCACAGAGACAGCGCAGGCCATGTACTTCAGGAGGGATAACGCGGTGCCTTCTTTCTCGGAGCAGACTTCAGAAGAGATCATGAAGATCGTCCAGGAGGCAAGGACCATGCCGAAGTCATCCAGGCCAAGCTATGGTTGGGGCGATGAGGGTTCGGACGACGAGGAAGAGAAGGAAGAGGAAGAGAGACCAGAAGTGGCGGAGGAGGAAGAGGAGGATGAGTACGACAAGAGGGTCAAGGAGGTTCATGCAAGCGGAGAGCTCCGCATGAGCTCGCTACGCATATCATGAAAGTATGCGGAGTAAGTTACCTGTAGATAATCGGCCTATCGTGGAACTTCTGCGCTCAGTGGGATGTGCAATTTTGTGGAAGTTTGCTTCTGTTTGGTTTTGGTTCGTGTAACATAATTTACATGGGACAATGGGGCTTGATGAATGCTGTAATATTTGGCTCTTGGCAGAGAAACTTATGTACATATAAAGCGTATGCTTGTATTCCCTGTGACCGGGAGAAATAGCTCGCCTCAGGCTGTCCAGCGGTTCATGTTTAAAGCATGCCGACGAATTCTGTGGTTCGCCCTAAAACTGGAAATTTGTGCTATTTAGTGGAGAAGTAGCAGGATCAGTGCTTGAAGTGGTCCTTACTAAAAGAAAACGTTCTTTACTTGCAATGCCAGGCGCAAGCAACTTGCGTTGTGAATGCCGCTGGCGCCAGCGTGGGTGTTAAGGTGGATACACCCTCTTCAGAATGTCCCTTGCCTACTTTTGGTACAACAGTTTAGTTCCTTCCACCAACCCATCCTAAACCGCAGCTACAGCTATGGTTACAGCATCACAGTTCACAGGGGCCAACGAGCTAGCACCAGCACATACCTCCGACGATATGCTTCTATCACGGAGATGCTCCATTTCACAGTTGCTGCTCGATTTGCAACAAAATTTAACTAGTCGATATAGAAAGTAAAAAGAACCAATATGCTCTGTGCACAAGTACAACTATGGTTATAGCATCACAGGGGCCTTCACAGGCTACACTGCATGCCCCTCTTTCTTGGAACATCAACATAGCATGG